ATATTACTCAAGACAAGTAAGAGAACGGACTTGAGAACAAAGAAAATACTAAAAACAATATCAGTTTAAAAGAGGATAATTTGCAACTCTTAATACGCTTATACCTTATCAAGAAAAAGAGGTAATCCACTCTTAATTAAGAAAAGACAAAGCTTTGATATTATAAGTATACTCTTGTTAATCTGTGAAGGACAAAAATATAATAAAGAAAAATAAATAAGTGAGGCTTCTTTCAAAGAAAGATGACAAAATAGAAATAACTTGATATGTATATTAAAAAAGAAATTGGAATGGCTATTGCCAAAAGACAAGAAAACTAGAGACCCTTGAAACTAGAGTGGAAGCAAGAAAAGAGTTGACAAGATTGAAGAAGGCTTCACTCTTGTCTCTATATATACTATCTAACTAGGGGCTATGTGGTGACGTTCTATAGGATCTCCAATATGTGTTGACTTTGTAGGACACATGCCTTAACTAACAAGACAAGTTTTTCTATGTGTGGGCCACATTGTCAGCTTGATCTTCAAACTAACAATATGTATGGCACATGGCCAACTTGTTGACCACGTTTCTAATCCAAAAAGTCAATTAAAGACACATATAAAATCAAAGTAGTATCTATGAAGCTTCTAGGAAGCTTTTATATCAAATATTATAGAATTAACTTACTTTTATCTACTTTTACTTACTTCTACCTATTTATATATGTAATTACTGGCTTACATGAATATGTCCGTGACATAGCCTCAATCTCATATTTTCTCTCAGCTTATAGTGTCGTATTTTGTTGACAAACTTAATTAATATATTTTCTAATAATTCACTTATAGGGATATATAAGACTGGAACTTCAATAAGTTATGTTTTTTTATAAATCAAATAAAAATGTATTTTAATATCATTTGTACATGCATATTATATGGAATTTACCACCAATTTGATGTATTCTTAATTGGCACTCATTATGGAGTTAACATCATTGATATATATATATGAAGATTATGAAATAATCTTTGCAACCATTTAACATCTCCTTTAGCTTCTAACATTACAAGATATTCAGCCATAGTGGTACATAATATGATTATACTTTGCATATTTGAGCTCTAGTAAAGTAAAATTTTTCCAATCATGTACAAAAGCTTAGATGTAGGTTTACTCCAATCAACATTGGTATAAGTAATTAATCTTCTATATCTACTTATAAGATAATTAATTTCAAATTTTCTTGTATCCTTTAAATAGCATAAGATATTGATGCCTATTTTTTAGTCAAAGATTTGTAGAGCTATACAATATCTACTTATATAATTTATAATAAAATTTATATTCAGTCTTCTCATGTTTGATAGGTCTAAGAAGCTTCCAACAAGCTTGTAATACTCTTGGTTGTGCATTGATTCTTAATCCATATTAGTCTATAATTTGATACTTTTATTCATAGGCATTGGACTCAAATTATAATTTAATATACCAAATCTATCAAATATAAAATTAATGTATCTTTTCTAATAGATAATTATACCACTTTTGATGCATATAAACTCTACTCTAATATACACTTCTAATAGTCCTATGTTTGTCATCTCAAATTCAAATTCAAATTTGTTTTCAACTTTAGAATTTTTTTTGTTGTTGATTTCTTGTTATAATTAAATCATCAATATTGAACAAGATGAGTATATAGTGTCTATTTTTGTATCAAATGTTGAGGTTGAAATCTGCTAATGACTTATATATTTCTATTTTTTATATTTATTTATCAATTCTTTTGTACTAAGCTCACAAAGATTGTTGAAGACCAAATAGTACCTATTTCAGCTTAAACACCTTGTTGTTGCTTTTATATCCTTCAAACTCATGTAGAATAATTATGATTTTTTTAAAAAAAAATATTATTTAAAAATATGTATTTCACATCATATTATTTCATCTCCTAATCTTGAGCAGTTGCTAATGCCTTTAATGTCTTTATTGTATTCTAATAGATGACAATAATAAAATATTTAAAGAAAACTTTACCTTCTTGTTGCTTCAATCTACATGTCACTACTTAAGTCTTATATTTTTTGATATTGTATAATGCTCCAATCTTCTTTTTAAAGACCCAGCTAAAAAAGATGGGCATTTTTTTACTTAATAAATCACAAACCTTTGATGTGTGATTTTTCTTAATGCTTTGAATTTCTTAGCTAATAGTATCTCTCCATTGTTTATTCTTTGTAGCTTCAAAATAGTCAATAGGATCCATTTTTACATAAAAACTAAGTAGCTAATTATTACAAAGCTTTGTTAATGATTGTTTACATCTATCTATTCTCTTATGTATGAAAAGCTGACCTAGTTGAATTGATAAATTAGGAACTACAAGTAATGATAGTTTTGGAGATTGCATGGTATATATATTTAATAAGTATACATTAAAAGACTGCTACTTCATTGCTTTAATTAGAGATTGTGATAGAAATGATATATCTTCAAGTTTAGTATGTTGGCCCTCAATTTGTTTATACCCAACATCATTGTGAGTTAATGTTGCATGTTCTCTTAAAGTTCTTATTAAAGTAAAGAACACATCTTCAAAATTCTCATGATTATGATTGTCTTTAAGATGATGATAGCCAATTTTGGACTTGTCAAAGATGACATCTCTACTAATAGTTATCTTTCTCTTTGTAGGCTAGTAGACCTGATATGCTTTGCAATTAGAGTTCTATCTAACAAAGATACATTTTATTATCTTAGTATGATGCTTATTTTTCTATTCTTTTGACATATGCAAATAAGTATTATATCCAAATAACCTTAGATACTTTACTTTTGGCTTCTTCTTGGTAAAAATTTCTATTGGTATTTTTCTATCATTAGCATTAATTGGATATAGATTTATTAAATGATTTTTACTATTGATTGCTTCCAATCATAGACTTATAGGTAGTTATTTATTTATTTATTTATTTATTTATTTATTTATTTATTTTTATATAAAATATACTTCTTGCCTTCTCTATGATCAACCTATTATAACCTCAAATTTTTAATATTCTATTTTGTTTGGAGGTTAGAGCTTGTATCAATCGTCTTACAATTCCTTATTTTTAGCAATATTCTTTAAACTAATGAGATAAAAATTCACCACAAATATCAATCCTTAGCATGAGTATTTTCTTACATGTTGCGTTTTCTTCTAGAACTTTGAATGTACAGAAATTGGAGATTTTGTTTTTAGACTTTAAGAAGTAAACTTAGCTTTGAGAAGAGTAATTGGCAATGAACACTACAAAGTTCTACTTTGGAATAGATTTGTGATTAATCTTTTCAATTTTGCATATGTAAGTTGTAGCACCTTCTTTGACATATTAAAGATTTGTTGTGAAAAATTCATTTTATATTAATGACCCACATTACAAGCTTTATAAACTTTTTTTGGTGTTGTTCTAATTAAAAGTGAAACTTTTATTCTTTATTTCATGTAGAGTTGTCTTAGGCTATAATAGTTGAGATGTCTAAGTCAACTATTCCCTAGTCTAATCTACTTTGCCATGGAAGTATTGACTTCAACAAATGACTAATTTATAGAATGAAGTCTACTCCTATATTTGCATGACCCGAAGGTGATCACATAGTATTCTTCTTTTTGATCATTTATTCAATACTTATTTATAAAAAAGATCATCAAGTTTCTTTCATCTATGAAAAAGTCCACTAACAATAAGCTTTTCTTCAAAGAAGATACAAATAGAACATTACATATCTTTTTGGAGCCTTCATTGTCAATTTTGTTGTTGATATCTCCTTGCTCAAAAGTGAAATTGACTCACTACCTACTGCTTTAATTCTCTCAAAGTGACTTACAAGTTTGAATAAGCTTAATATTTATTAGTTGCTTGTCATATATATGGAGGTTCCACTATCAAGATAGTAATTACAATTATTCTTTCTTACTTTGATAATCTTAGTAAAATTAATTTTTTCATATCAAGAATTAAAATCATCATAATTGGAGCAGGAAAAAACATCATCTTCTTCTATGATGCTTGTTGTTGGCTTATTGACATTAAGTAAAAACTTCTTAAATTTGTAATTCTTTGCCATGTAGTTTACCTTACCATAAATATAGCGATAGATTAGATGTGTGTCTCCATGAGCATAAAGGACTTCAATGATGCCTTGGCCTCTCAAAAAAGGATGCCTACTTCTATAAGATGAGTAACTTCTTCTATTCTTCATATTTCTAGGATTGTAATTTTTTCTAAATGCATGTACTAGTAAGACTTCACTCTTGAAATTACAATTAGAATTTGCTCTTAGTTGTAGTTTGTATATCTCAACAATCAATCTAGATGATATTTTCTCAAAGTTGAAAAACTAATCAATAACTTTGCGATTATATATTAAACTATCAAAAAAATGAGATAATCCATTGAGAACTATTTGTATAAGGATTTTGGCAAGAATTGTTATACTAAGTGCATCCAATTGATTTTTGATTTCAAAAGCCATCCTCAAGAACTCTTTCATTAAGATGAAATTCCAAAACTTTAATGTTGAGAGTTCAATACCACAAGAGGATCTCCACTCTTATACTTATCCTTTAATGTTCTCCATGCATCCAATAGTTCGTTATATTCAACGACAAAGTCTACAAGGTAGTCCTTTATAACAAAAGTTTATAATCTTCATTTCTTTTGTTTTCATATTAGAAAACTGAACCTCTATCAATGTGCATTAGTTATATATATATATATATATATATATATGGATATGTTGTAGGTGTTAACTTTGCAAAGGTATACTCCCACATGTTTTCTGCTTGCAAAAACTTTTTTATCTTCAAGCTCTAAACATGAAAGTTGTCTTCTATAATCAACCTATTGGCATCTCCAACTTGTAGAGGATAGTTGGAACTCAACATTGTGACTAATTCTATTACACTCTCTAAGCAAAATAAAACAAACTCTTGTAAATAACTATAAGCAGCCCTCTGATACCATGTAGAATTTACACAAACAAAAGTGATGATATATTTCATGTGTGTTGAATTTATACATGATCTCAGATGACCTAAGGGAGTCAAGTTGATCTTTCACAAGAAAAGAACTTCACTCTCACTGTACTTATAGAATACAGACCTGATCTTCTAGTTTTGGTGACACTATTACATAACTGATGTTCGAAGCTGGCGGATATCAATGTGGCCCCGAGTATGGTATTGGGCTGGAAACCCTCGGCGTATTTTTCCAACATTAGGATTTCGGCAACAGAACAGATTCCACGAAGAGAGACGTGCCATTGTTAGCAGCGCCCGAGATTCCGAGAACAGACGTCATGAGATTATACAGCTGCACATTCTCGAACGATGGCACTTTCCTGCCTCTCGCAAATCGAGGCCCGTGCGCGAAGAAAATCGTCCTCATGGAAAGGTGCGCGTTGTCGTAGCCGTGAGCTCGCACATGGACTTGTTAGTCCTCTGAGCTTCCAATCTGTAACCCTCCGCCACCATTCCAATGATCGGCTGGATTCTGTTGCCCGCGGGGAAATGCAACCGAGCTGGCAAATCTTCCTTCAGGTATATGTTCACAAATTCAGCATTTTTCACTTGCCCGGAGGCAAACCCATTTGTAATATTCTTGAGGACTGATCGCACATCCACTGCAGACGGTGGCCGAATTGACAGAATGGGGAAATAGGAATCGACCCAGTCGTCGGGGATTTCAATCCACGGTTTGAGATCTTCGAGACATATCACCCGGTCAGGGCAAGTTCCCAGCATGCCGCGATCTCCAATTATGATAATTGTGACATCGTCCAAGATGCCTCTCTCCTGGAGCCCGTCCATGAGCTTTCCAACCATGCGATCGATGCGCACAATTTGCTCAGTGATCTGCGGTGCGTCGGGTCCATAAACGTGGTCCTCTTCGTCCGGCTCCTCAAAGTAAAGTGTGATCAGGCTGGGTCTCAGCTCCGAAGGCAGATCCAAGTACCCTAACACGCCATCCACTCGGTCCTCGAAGGGCACCGAGCCGTTGTAGCGGTGGCAAAAGGATTGAGGGTAGTTCCACGGCCCTTTCACAACCTCAGATTCGGGCCAGAAATACGTCGCCGCGTGCAAGCCGCTCTTCACCACCGTCTCCCAAATGGGCTCGCCAAGCCACTACTTCGGATCATTATTCTGCATGTCAAACTTCTCCGTGCTGTTGAGGTCTGGATCACTGAAATGGTTGCCGATGATTCCATACCATGCTGGGTACAGTCCCGTAACACTCGAGTAATGGTTTGGAAAAGTCACCGATGGGTACACGGGGATCATCCCCGCATCCACTTCTGTGCCGTTCAAACGCAACCTGTCAATATTGGGCATCGGTGCCTTCTGGTGGTAGCCCCATCTGAACCCATCCGAGGATATCAAGATCACCATCGCCTTGTCCAATTTCGTCATCGGGCGGCCCGCACCCCACGATCCATTGAATTCCTCTTTGTTCCCAGAAACTCCGAACGAGCTCATCACCAGCCATATCACCAGGAAAGGAAACGCCACCACCCATAGGAGGCAATTGCATCTAACGTACTGATCAGTGCCCGCCCCTACACCCTGTAGACAATATTCTGACAAGAGAGGCTCACCAGTATGAGCATCCCGCAATCTAGGATTTCGTTACGAATCCGCCATAGCCAAAGTGACCAGAGCAAATCATCTCACATTCAAGCAGATTTGAAAGGACTTTGGAGGTCCTTCCAACGATCAAACCTTGACACTAGCACGAGCAAACTAAGCGTTTGGGGTTCGCACTCTCTGGGATGAGTGAGCAGGTGGCTTTCTGCATGTTGGGGACCCCTGTGAAATGGCGTGCAGAGGTCCTTTGCAAGTGGCAACTGAAACCCATTTCACGTATCAAAGGAAAGGCAGATGGCGAAGTTCAACACACGACATTCGAAAAGGTGCAAGCACGCCACCATTACACAGCTTTTCTTACGATGGGACTGATGTAAAGAGCAACACATCATCCGGTACATTACACTCTAAAAATTTAAACAAGCCAAATACCTCCTAGATTTGTCTGCTACTGCACTGCCAAGCTAGGCGGGTTGCTGCGGAAGGCAAGTTTGCAGACTGGCGAAATTCATAGAAATACAAGGCAACTCCACAGTCTAGATTGCAACTCTACCAAGTGCAAACTCATCACTTTGTCATCAAGAAGAGAACGACATTTTTTTTTTTTTTTTTATTTTTAAAACTATTTACTCTCTTAGGTGTTCCTTTCTACAGCAGGAAAAGGCTCTCCTCCACGGTTCAACACTGCACACAGTTAATGGAGATGACGAAAGGTTCTGCTGTAGTATGCCCTCCTGAACGGCTTCCAACTTTGAATCATTCCAGTCGCATTACAGCTGCAACAAAGTAATTAGGGTTTCGACACCCGTTTCTATTCGGCAACACACTTGGGCATTTAGCTTCATGTTCGACGCCAAATTCATCCTTACCCTCGTTCGACCACCGACCGGCTTAAATGCTGTGTAGTTCTAGTGCTCATCAAAACTCGAGGAATTCAAGGACTGTTTTCAAAAAAAATCATTATCATTGTGTTCCCCCACTCGGATCTTTCTGGCGATTTCCTCTTCAAAGTACAGGCTATCCGAGATGAACGAAAAAGAAGAGAGGAGACCAGTACTGCACCTCGAGTGATAGCACATTTGTGATGCCCGGGATGCACCTCACATTCTGATGGCCCATACCGCCATTGCCCCCGCCCAGCTTGGACAAAAATGTTTTGTAGTCGATGCAGCCATCAGCGTCAATGCTCACGTCGTGGAGGAGATACTCAAAGCGAAGGTCCCCCATGTGAAACTCGAAGTAGACGGCGAGGAGCTCGTCGGTGGTGATGTATCTACTGCCGCTCTTGTCGAGATGCTGAAGAGCTGCCATGATATAATACCATCGTGGTCTACATCTCTCCTCCAACTCAATTTGATTCAAGCTCAGAGTGGCAGCTACAAATTTTTTGAAATCGACAATACCATCGTGGTCTACATGCCAAGTGTCCATGAGGTCGAAAATCTCCGTGTCCTTGAGAGAGGTCCCCATCCTGAGCAGGCCCGCTTTGAGCTCCTCGAAACTAATCGCGCCGTCATTGTAACTGTCCATATCGGTGAAAACCTCCTTCAAAGTGGTGATCTCCTCCAACGACAGCGTCTCGGTAATGATCCAGATCGCCAATTTCTTCAGCTTGTTCAGCAGAGCGAATTGATTCATCCGGAACTGGACAAGGGACGTAACCTGCTTCTTGAGCGTCCCACCATCCTCGCGAATACAAGAATGTTCTAAAATCTCGTGAGCGTTCAGCCGTTGCTTCAGATCAGGGTTCAGCATCATTCGGGTCAGGTCCTTAGCTCCCTCGAAAATGTTCGGCCACGGATTGGCGGTGAAGACCGGGGGCACCCCTTCCATCTTTCTCTCCAATATGCCCTGCGCTCTCTCACTAAACACATCTCCTGGCTCGAACAATCGAGCCGACCCAAAGTCCGCAGCCTTCAAAACAAAGTAGTCATTCATGGTCTTGAAGAGAAAGTTCTCAGGCTTCAAATCCTGGTCCACGACGCCGGAATTGTGACATGCTTCCATAACACTGACGATGTTGGGGTGGCCGGAGAGGTGGTACATGACCTCAACCTCGCGGCCGACATCCTCGATTTCTTCCAAGGAAATGAGCTTCCGCTTGGGAATGCACTTGCTAGCATATTCTAACCCTGTAGCGCGCTTGGTGTAGAGATACGGGGTGCCGAACTGGCCCGCGCCGAGTTTCTGCCCAACAGAGTAGATCTGCTCGAAATTATCTCTGGTGTTTTGTAACAGCACAGGGAGGGGTAGATGCTCTCGAGATCCGATCAGGCATGCGACATTCGCCATGCAAACAAGACACCATTGACACGCAAACCCTCAGAAAGAAAATTCGGCTGGTTACGGTGATGCTTAACCAAGAGGCACCATTCCTGCAAGAATAAGACATCTCTGGTCAAAATGAGACGCGCTCCAGAGGAATTAATTCGAGGTGCCAATGCAAAGTGCTGCGGATGTAATATAGGGGTGCCAATACAACATGCACCGAATAAAATAGGAACAGGGCTCCGCCGAACTATATATATAAAAATCGAATGGCTTTGATAAGTCAACAGCGTCTTTGTCGAAAATCTACAAAGGACAAAGGGAGCGCGAGAGCAAGCAGGCACTCACCAAAAATAAGGGAATCGAGAGAGATTGTGGACGGTGATGTCCTCAAGGGTTGCCGGGGTTCGACATCCACACAGCCATTGGCCAACATGCGAAGACGCATGTAAAACTCCGCTTAGGGCTCCACCGCATAATCCAATGCTTGCGCAGTTACGAAATCACCTATCCAACTTCTGAGGCAATATTTCAAGATTCCTTATAGAGGACTTCAGCTCTCTTGTCTTCGGCCGAAGTCCTCTCCCTGCTAGAGAATCTTATTAATTGTCGATGATGGACCAACAGCGGCGCAGCAGCAAGACGATGAATGAGAAACAGAGCCCAAGTACGACGCCTGGCTCACAACTTCCCAATTTCACTTCCAAGTAGCAATCGGACGCTGAAACCTCGAATTGATGCTACCGAAGCGAATTGCAACTTGTATTAAGTCTCCTCACTCTCGCAACCTTCCCTGCCCATGATAAACGAGCTTCGTTTGAGCAGATCGTCACCTCCTCACCGCCATCCTAACAAAACAAACCAAAACACCACCCATCAAAACTCTTCTACACCCACGCTACAAAATCCCACATGACTGCCGGCGCACCTCGAAAACCTCGTTCACGTACGCCAACCGAACCTATCTCGACAAACAATGTGAACACCCTCGCACAAACACCGACCAGCACCAAAAAAGAAACACTCACCACCGTGTCCACCGAAATTATCACCACAGCTCCTGCTGCATGTAAGTTTGCCTGCGCGATACTATCAACCGCCGCCCCCAATCCCACAATTTCAATCGACCAACAAAACTCCGGAGCTTCGACAAGGAACTATCCACAGCAGCAGGTAACAGGGAGTGAGAAAACGCGACCAACAAGACTCAGGTGGATCTGCGAATCGTGGCAACGGCCATCCTAGACGATTAACCACCCGCGCTTTCACTCGCCGCCGGTGTCAATGCGGTGACGACGGGTACCTGCAGGCACATAGCGACCACCCCATTGCGACGGGGGAGAGGGGCGTGGCGAGCGAGCACTGATGTGCTCAACTAGCTAGCGGGGCTGCATCCCCATGGCCACTACAAGCTACAAGTAGGAGCGGAGTGGTGGGATTCGCCGCAAGAGGGGAGCAAGCAGCGAGTGTTGATCTCCTCGTGGATTTGGGGATGGATCCAGATGCTGGTGGGGGCTCCGCGCGGCGCGACGATCGTCGATCGGGGATGCTGATCCAGTTCGCGCTGACAAGGTTTGTCGTCGCCGGCGTCGCGAGTTCAGTTGCACTTCTGGAAGTCCTCCTCAGTGCTCTGTAAGCAATTCTTTGGCGACTCCCCCTTTTGCCACTTTTCTTTATCCCCCCCATAACCCCCATTTGCCTAGTGCCCATGTTCCCATCTTGACCTTGTCTTTGCTCCCTCTTTTTGCTCCCTCTTTTTTTAAAATTTTGTTGATACTAGATTTTGTTGTTACTAGATCTTATTTTTTTTGTTCTTATCCCACTTGCACCAAATGCTTTTCTTTGCAAAGGTTGGTGGTTTTTAGAGGTGAAAATTAAGTAAATGAGTTGGGTTGATTAGTTTTGGATGATCTACTTGGTTGCATAAGGTGTGAATGGTTTCTTTAGTGTTTGATGTTATGATGCCAAGACTATTGTACAAGAAATTCAAATCATAGTTATATTCAAGGTCTATGTTATTCAAATTGATTTTAAAGAGAGTCATTAGTAGCAAAAGTTTATAAAATTAAGAAGATTTATTCTTGCAAGAGAGAAAAATGATGCTTATAGAATAATTAAAAATAAATGATATTTTTTTAGGAATAACTAGAATTTATTCAAAATTTATTTGGAAAAGAAAATGATTCAAATTATTAAAATCATTGTGGAATTTCTTTCTTTATACATATTTTTTATGTCTTAAATACCCAAAGGCTTTTTATAAGCTATTTTTTTTTTCATAACATTATTAGAACATATTTTACCATTAAAAATATTATCAAACATTGTAATGTGAAATCTAATAAATATGAATCATTTTTTTTATTTAAATTTATTTTTCAAAATCTAATATATTATATTAAAATTTTATGATAAATCCAATCAAAAAATCTCAATGAATTTTATATATAAAAAATATTTTAATTCTTATTAGATTAATAATAAAATTTTTATTCAATTTGAATTACATTTAAAACTATTAATATTTTTGAAAAGAATAAAAAAATTCTATTTTATCTATAAAATCTTTAAATATTTTTATAGTATAAAAATAAGTGCAATTAAATAAAACATTAAAACTTATTGGTTGAATAAATTAAAAAAAAAAGAACATAAGAAATGCACTGACAAGAATAAAAAAAGCTTTACTATTACTTCTATATATACTATTTAATTAAAGAATTATGTAAAAATATTGTATAGGTTGTCTAATATGTGTTCAATCCAATATGCAAGATACATGTTTAACTTTCAAAGCAAGTTTTTCACATATTCATCACATAACTAACTTATTGGCTAAGTTTCTAATATACCAATCACATATCAATTACCTATAAATAATTGTAAAATAAAATCTGCATCTACAAAGCTTTTTAGAAGCTTTTCTATGAGATATAATCTTCAAGATTATTTAATTTACTTACTTTTATTTCATCTTATATCTTTTATACTCCTAATTACTAATGCCAATGTTAATATATATACCATTATTTCCATTTCTAGAAATTGGTGTCATAATATAATACAACTAATAGGTGAAAGAATGTGAAAATTATTATAATATAGGAGATCTTAGTTCAAAGTATTAGAGAAAATTATCTTAGAGATATAGTTAATAGTCAAAAGGATAATAAATTAAAAAGTACCAATATTGCCTTTTACAAAATGGCCTTCTACTTACTTTGTTGGACCATAAATAAAGCAAAATAAAGTAGATTAGGAAAACAAAGAATATGAGCATTTATAGGAGGAAGTTAGGAGTTGATTTTAACAAAAATTAAGTCATAAAGACAAAATTTGATACTTGAGGAGGGCCGGTTATCAACCTAGGTCGAAATCAAACCCTGAGGTACAAAACCAAGTACCTATAGCAACTCTAGGATTCTTTGGCAGATCGAAGAGTGGGATTTGAGAGTAGACTAGATAAGGTTTCAATGAGCATTATTTTTGCATGATTTGGATTCATAATGACTTTGTACAAGCTTACAAAGTCAAGTTTGTTTTTGGATGACTTGGATTTTGTGAAATAAAATAGGATTGACGTTTTGGACAATTTCAAGAGTTTTGTAACAAATCTATAAGTGAAATTTTGTAGGTTAATGATTATAGTTGTACTTAATATATGTTATAAATTTTAGCTAGATCTAACGGTTGAATTGAGGATTATTGAGGTTTAAATGGGTCAAGGTTTCAATAAGTAGAATTTTAGGTCCAACGAGGGTTTTTAAGATTTCTTACAATCTACTTGTTGGATTGGAGTGAAAGTTTTGTATTTGGGTAGTAGACTTGTTTTTCTTTGTATGAGAGAATTTTGAAATTGATTGAATAATTTGATAAAAAGAGATTGGCATTGGAAATTCAACATTTAGATTGGAGAAGAAGGCCGATCTATACTCGAGCACATTTTTGTGATTATCATCCATTTGAAATTAAGAATATTATCTTGCTCCTCAAAAATTTTGAACTCAATCCAATACTTGAATTAGAAGAAATTGAATGCTAAAGTTCTATAAATTTGAAGGATATTAGTTATTGCTACTTGATATTGGTTTTTGTTACTAGATATTGGTTATTACTATTGGTTTTTGATTACTGCTACTATTTATTAGCTATTGTTATTGATTATTGGCTACTGCTACTGGTTTTTGCTTATTGCTACTGGTTATTGGCTATTGTTACTGGTTATTGGCTACTGCTATATGATATTGGTTACTACTATTGGTTTTTGGTTATCGCTATCGTGTTGTAACACAACTATATGATGAAGATATAAATGAAAAAGTTTTATTAATATTTAGTCATCTTGGATATTAGAAACAATGGCCAATTTCAGTGCCAATATTCAGGGGCCAGTTAATGTCATCCCATTGCAAGCTGTACCACCGAACGTGACAATAGTGTATGCTCCACAGGCGTCATCGAACCAAGTACCCTCCGTACCAACGGAATGACCATAATCATTTTCTAACCCTATATAGAACAAGCCTACTAGGTATATATCGGTGGAGACATCCAATATGCCTGATGGGGGTGTAAGAAGACCACTTTGTTGTTTCCATTGCAGACAGATTGGTCATTATGCTAGTGAATGTTCCAATCCCAGAGCTAGTGACAATTATGCACTAGTGTGTGGGAATAGCAAGCAATCAGGGTATACTTATCAACAATGTAATGCTCCATTTAATTTTGATAATCGGGATCAGCAGATCCAAAGCCAAGGAAAAATTGAGGAGATAAATCGAGGTCCTCAAGATTCTTTGATAAACTGGGTAGAATATGTCCAAGTCATTTTTACCAAGAGTCGACAAAAGGAGAAAGGACCAATTCAACATTCGGGTGAGCCTGATGTGAAGGGCTAATTTGACCCAATTATGGGGACATCTAATCCAGGTCTTGTTACGGGCTTCTTATCTAGTATGAGACTTGACTCAATTGGACAACCCAATGAGGTCCCAAATACGGAGGCTTTGGTTCTATTTTAAGATGTTCCGTTCTCTATGTTGTTTTGGAGGAACCTTCTTTTCCGTGGAAAGATTTTTTTAAAGGCGGGAATTCTATGAAAGCGCAGTCTGTTGTTCCAATTTCGAGTCCAGAGCAAAAGAATAAGGGACCTCACAGAGTTAATAGAAAAGAAAGAAAAAGGAAGAGGGCATTCGGAGATAGGAATTTTTTTGGAGTCGGAGACCTAGCTTCAAGCTCCTTCAAAAGGTGTAAGACTTAGTTTCATAGGATTTGGGAAGATTTTGCAATTGTTGCTCAAGTCAGTGTTTGTATTAGTGAATTGGGTTTTTTTTTTTGCAATAAAGTTAAGGCTAGTACCTTTAACTGTTTTGTGAAATTGGAGAAACATCTGCGGTTGAAAGTTTAGAAGTGTTTAAATGATTTAGTATGCCAAATGCTTGCAAAAATTTGTATTAATCTAACGGTATGGATAGAAGATATTTGATCATTAGTGTAAAGAGGTATCAAAAGTCGGCATATTGGGGTTGTTTAGGGTTTTTGTAATATTTGGAGATCTATCAATTGGGATGAGGTGAATTTTGATGCGATAAGTTTTACAACAATCAAACAGTCAGATTGAGAATTACCGCTTGCCAAAGCTCACTGTCTAGGATTATGGTTTAAAAATAAAAAAATAAAAAATAAATAAAACAAAAATAAATAAATAAAAATATATATAAATAATAATAATAATAATAATAATAATACTGATAAAAATAAAATAAAATAAAACTAACAGAAGAATTTATGCTTATAATATCTCGAAGTAATTAAAAAATAGTGTTTCTAAGTACTTTGTATTGGAAGTAAGCTTTTATATTGAAATCTGAAATAGTTTGTATTTAGATGGTTGAAATCCACTAGACTACTTGTATACTTACAAAACATCATTTTATCTTTCATAGCCAGACGCCTTGTGCGTTCTGAAGCTAAATAACACATAATACGACATAAATGGTGAACCTAACGTGGAACGCTTGAGGTGGGAGGTATTAGAATTCATTTATTTTTATTTTTATTTTATAGAAAACGAGAATAAAAATTTTAAAGGAGCTTTGGGAGGAGCTTCAAGTGGAGCTTCTGGTAGGGTTTCTTCTAAAGGACAAGGTATGTACATGGATCCTTCCGTTGCTAGTATGTTTCAAGCCTTATCATTATCTATGCAGTAATAACAAAGGAATGATCGCAAAGAAGCTTTAGCAACCAAAGCATTGTAAGCACTGGTCAATAAAATTGATCAATTTGATGGAAGGGATATTTCAAAGTATTTGAGATGTTTTGTTCAAGAAATGGAATTAAATTGGATTTTTGAGAAGAAAATGGTTGAATTATTTGGACTTACTACAATACCAAAAATAAGAGAGCATATTACAACAATTATGGAGCATTATGGAAATTCATGGGAGGTTTTTTTACATGC